ATGTATTTTTTAATTATCTACAACTTTTGTTTGAAACTTTTTTCGATTAAATGCCTAGATTCTAAGATACGGCCATTTTTACCCTTTTTTTCGTTAAGGCCACATCGTATTGCAAAAAAATTAGCACCATTCGATTCAGCGACGTCGAATTACCTTTKTATCAAACTGTCGAGAACTTCTACCTGAAAGTTTTTCCTTCACCTCTTATTGACTGGGCTAGATAGTAATGTAAGCGATACGTGTTTTATGTTGTCTGCATCATGTACGGTTTAATTCATATGGTTCCGGCTTCATTTTCTAAACTAACATACGATGCACGATATCGCATTGTCGTCTCTAGTTACCAATTGAATAGTCGCCATTTACAGTAGAAAACCAAAAAGAAACATTAGCGGTCAGTAGTCTCGCAATTTTGTCTTCTTTTTAAAAATTGACCTATTATTTTGTTTAATAAATTTTAATTTAAAAAAAAAAAAAGCACATTGTTTGATCCGATCACGAGTATACCTTCGTATTTGCATATATGAGATATTGATACAATTATTATAGTATCATTTATTATGTTAGATAACGTTTGCTTTATTTTCATATTACTTTATTCTCCTGAATTTTTAATATTATTAATAACGATTTTAATTTAATTATTTGCGAATATAATAGCAGGTTAACAATGTGGTTTACAATTATTTCTAAATTTTAAATTCGTATTTTATATCGATCTAAACATCTTAACTTCTTTTAATTAGTTTTGTTATGAAACGTGATATTAATTTCAATTATCAAATGAATAAATTTGTAATTAAGTAATACACATATATTATATGAATGATGAGAAAGAAAAGAGGGGGGAGAAGAGAAAAAAGAAATTGTTGCATGCGTTGGCGGCATCGGTTATACTACTCAAAGATGACAAAAGGAAATACTGGCTTCCCTTTGAACGCTTCTTCTGTCGTTTAACCCAGGACGTAGCTTTCCGACAAAGTAATTTTAATTAACGTAAAAGCTTATTGTCTATCTATCCGTAGAAGTGGAACGTCAGGTAACATCCGTTCTAACCAAAGAGGATCGATAAGAGCCATTCTAATGTTTATTCCACTCAAGTGGAAAAGTTTTAAACACAACAAGAAAGGTGGAATCTGACTTGGACTAGGTGGTTCTCAGAAACTTATAATTTTGTTCCCTCGATTAAACTGACAAATTAATTTCCTGCGAAAGATTCACAAATGACGGAATAAACTTAGGATTATGTATTTACGTTAGGACAGATGATTTTGCGCAAAAAAAAAAAAAAACGACAAAAGCGTAGGAAACAAGAAGCTTGTAATGTGTTAGATAAAAAAAAATCCAATATAGGATGTGATAACACGAGTGCATGTATTTCCGATACATTCTATTATAACTTAAGCACGACGTTCTTCTAACGTTACCATTCATTCTCATTCCACAATTTTTTCATTTTTCTCAGAGCTGTTCGTAATATTTTTGTAAGAAAAAAAAAAACGTATTATTATTTAACGCATTATTAACCCTTTGAACTCATATGTCACGCGTTGAAAGTGATAATATATAGATTTACTATAAAAGTCGTACATTACCTCTGAGGTGAAAACGATAATCATTTGCTCTTGTTGCGTATTTTTCAGTGAATTGTTTTTATTTATTTTTTTAAGAAACCTTTATGTTAATGCATATAAAAAATATTTATCACTTTATTCTATTTTATCTTGAACAATTATAAAAAAAATCAATGTTTATAATAATAATTAATATTATTATTATTATTATTATTGGCAGAAAATTGAGTTCAGAGGATTAATCAAATAAATTCTTTAATTACAAACTAGGCCTATGAAAGAAAAATTATTTTTTAATTTATCGTCAAGAATTATGGAGACAAAAATGAATGAAATAAAATTACAAACAAAAAAATCAACGTAAAAATATAGAAACGTAAGTTAGGAGATAAAAATCGATACTCTAATCAAATGGAAAATAAAACAAACCTGCCAAGAGTGGGAGTTTCTGAAGTTCTCGGTTCTTTGATATGTTGAATCTCGAGCTACTTTGTCTCTTATCCTTTTTTATAACAGGCCCACCAGGCTGATACTTAACTTTGTTGATGAGTGTCGGTGGAGGTGATGCATTACCATGTAGAGGACCACCTGACACTTTGTTCGTCTGCAAAATAAAATAAATCGATGATAAGAAAGATATATATAATAATTATAATAAAATATATTTAATTATACACGTATATAGATAATATAATATATTTCAGTGAAAACATATTGTATTGCGAATAAATTTGATAGGAAAATGGATAATGGCGAAGGGAAAGATTTTTGAATAAGAAACGCTAGCTTATAAGTAAACCGTGACAACTTTGTAACGAGAGATGTGCGATTTTGATTCGCACAAATAGCCACGATATTTGGCGGAACCGCAAGTCCAACATTACCGTCCCTTCTCTACTTTTGTCAAGTAAATACAACCTTCTCAAAGAAGAATATCACATTTCTCTCGTTGCAGTAGCTTCACGTAACAATATTTACGTAAAGCTTATATTTAATGGAAAATTACGTGAAGATCTTTATTAGAAGTAAATATCAAATTAGAAACACTTAAGAAAAAAGTAAATGAAAAGACAATTATTATCAACGCGTTACCAAAGCTTGAAATATTGCTCAGTAATAAAAAAGATGTTAAATTAAACAATTTCTACGAAGAAAAGTTAGTAAGAGAAATTAAAATATCATATCCAAATAAAAATAATAAGCGTTTCATTATTAAATAACGGGGATGAATGAATGAATGAGTGAAATAAATATTGTTATATTTTTTTATTGATTTTTTCTACGTTACGACTCAATAATAATTTTACTTGACCAACTCATTGAATTGCGAAAAAGTTCCGAAATATGAGCGAACACTAACGTTATTACAATTTGAAACTACGACACAATACTTTCGTCTCATCGCGAAAAGGAAAAGAAATAGAAAAATGAGGAAGACATAGAAAGAAAGTTAGAAAAAAGGAGAGAGAGAGAGAGAGAGAGAGAGAGAGCTTTTATGCGTATTCTCGCTTATTCATTTTTTCGTCCGGCCTCTAATTACTCTTCCACGGTCGTTACCGGTGTTTTAAGAGGTTGCAGCAGTAAAGATAAATATAGCATATAGTATGACGCTTAAAATAAAAACCACGTGGGCGAATTGTTTGCGGCCTGACATGCCTGTCGTGCTCCTCGTTAAGGGGTGTTGCGTGTTCACACGCGAAATAAAATTCCAAATGGCTTTTTTGGCTTTGTTTTGACATGACCCTAGAGAGGAATCCATTATTTAAAAGTCATATAATCTTGATGAAGGATATATCAGTGAGATTAATTAATAATAAATGATATTACGAACTAATGACGAGAGAAAAAAAATCATAAAGGATTAAAAAAAAGAAGAAGATAAGAAATCAAGATAAAATAAAAAAAAAGACAGTTGAACAAAATCAAAAAATAAAAACAAAAAAGCAAAAAATAATACGAAAGAACTAGATTTTAAACCGTTAACGCCGATTTGTACGTACAGAAACATTCTCAATACGAAACCTGCCTTCTTCTTGAACACATTTCCAGAGGCGAGTCTGCTAAACGCTTGCATTTTATACGATTAAGAGAAAGACAGACGACTTTGTTCCAGGATGCCGTTGTAGTAAAAAAATCATCGAACGAGGATCATCATCGTGTCTCTCTTCATAATCCCAAACGTTGCGTGCTCCGCGAGAAGAAATGGTCACGTACTATTGTCCGCCATGACACTCATATTTCCGCTTCTCCAAGATGAATTACTTCCTTTAGGAATACACGAAATTTTCAATCACCGTCCACACACTTTATTCGTTTTCTTTTTGGTGATTTGTTTTTTGATTTTTATTTTTACAACAGGTCATTAGTTAGTCGTTTATTTGAATAATCTAATATACGAGAGAACATTAAATTGTTTCTAAGTCTAACGAGGACCCTTCTTGTTGAAATTTAAGAATTGTGAATATTTTGGAAAAAAAAAGAAAAAAAGAAACAAGAGAAAATGAAACAACGCAGATAATTTGTCTTGATCCTGTGTTCCTACGAATAATTAATAACTCAGAATTATACATTTTTCGAAAGATCTATTATTCTGGATTATTTATTTATTTATAGATTTTTCTTTTTAAATATCAAACAACTTTTCATCGAGTCATTTGATTTCATTTTTAAATGAGCCATCTTACAATTAGATACCTAAGCTTTACATAGATGAGTTTTGAAAAGTGTTAACAAGTAGTAAGTTTTATTACGTGCTTACTAACACGCGTATATTGTTAGATAACTTTTGGAATATCATTTATCAGAGTTATCGATCGTTATCATGGTCGAAGCGAAGTACAAAAAATGTCGAGTTTTGCTTGATAATATTATTAAGGAATAGCAACGTTGAAAAAATTAAATTTTTTTGGTTGGACTGAATTATGTAAAATAAGTACACATGAAAGAATGAATCGGTAAATAATTATTGGTTTATGCTTAAAGTTATATGTTAGCTTGTATCATAAGAAGAAGAAGAATACCGGTAAACAACGAGCGTAGACAAACGAATATATTGCGTAATGAATCCCAAACAAGTAATATTGAACTTCTAATCTATACGTTCTATTTAACAGAACCGTGCAAAATGATATAATTAATATCAAAAGGCATAATCGAATTTGGAAAACACGTATCATATATACATAGGTCCGGTAAATATTTATTTTCGATTTATAAATACTTCTCGTTTTAAACAAAAATGTTTAAAGTAAAGTATTTATATATTAGAAAGGAAGAGTTTCCGGATTTTTGACCTTTTTAATGCAACACCAAAGTTTGTCACCTATTTTTAAAAAGCACCTTCTATTATATATTTAACAAAAATCTATATAGATGATCAAAATAAATAGTTATTGTATAAAACAAATAATAGCATTCTGATATAAGAAAATTCAACAATAAGAATAATCTATTAAAGATATAACAAAATAAATGAGCTAATGGTAAAGATAAGTATTATATTAAAATCGGAGAAAGTTAAATAAATAATAAAATGATTGAAAGAAGTATGGGTGATGGATTGAACGACCAAGAATAAAACAGAAAGATAGACATAGAGGAAGATTAGAGCTTTTGGCAAGCTATTGGCTCTCTTGGTATGCTGAACTATCGACAATCGTTCAAGGTCATCTTCGGTTGGCCTCAACCCTGAACCTACGCTCGATGGGAAAGCAAGTTACGTCTCGTTTTTATCAAGATAGACTTTTGGTCCAGAGTTGCAGTTGCATTCAATATATATATATATATATATATATCCTCTATCAACAAATTATTTTTCTTTTTTATTCGGAATTACGATCAAACATCATGAAGAACGCGCTTGCTCATACAAACATTTATTTTCTATGATTTTTATTTCAAATGAATAGAAAAAGCTGACCCGTGAAACGTAAATAGAATAATGACGAATGAACATGATATCTCGTGAGATTAGAAATTGAACAAATATTTATGTTGAATTGAATGCGTTACAAATTAATCATATGAAATGTATATTTCAGATGCTTTTAATGTTTTTGAATATTTGGAATATAATTACACCCTTAATTAACATGAGAATACCAATAAATGGTCTTTGATTACGATATTAGGAACAGAGAGAAAAATGGAATACAATTTTCACAATCATTTTTTTTCTTTTCTAAATGAAATCATTTATTTGCTATAGAGACTATCCTTGTAGCTATCTAGTTGAGTTCAATGAACCATTAATGTAAACTTGGACAGATGCAGTAATATTAATGATTATTAGAAAAGATAACAGACTGTTCACGTAACTTATTTGCAATTTCTGTAGTATGAAAATGAATGCGAACGATCGAAATTGTATTATCTTATTTAATATACCAATGAGTATTGGTATCGTAGCCGATTTGATTAAAATTTTACATGCAAACAGTAAGACTTTGTACAATTAGTTTATTTTTTGTCGTCTGGCATTACTTTTACGCATAACATATTTTCTTCAATTCTATTGCAGCAAATTGTATCAAATATTTCTAATTTTGAACGAACGACAAGACATTGTAAACAAAATTTGTGCATTTATGTAAAATAAATAAATTCTTATAGGAACGTCGATTTTTGCTCATATACAAAATTTCAATATACGAATAAGTGTCAGAATGCTATACGTTGTTAGTGAAGACGACGATTAGAGGTAATTTGAAAATTATCGATAACATCGTCGACGAACTTAGAACTTCGAATAAAGAGAAAGCCAACATAAGAAGAAAACTAAACAAATTAAATATCTAACAAAGTGAAATATAAATAGAAATATAATGATCAATTCCTAATTGTAAATTAACGATCAATGTAATCACAACCACTTCCCAAACAATCAGACGATCATAATTTATGATCAACGAATCGAAAAGAAAAGAAAAGAAAGAAATATAAAATCCATCCAAATAAATCGATATCCCAGCACTTTACTCAAAAGTTAACCCAAATGAAAGAATAGGCGGGAATTTAAAAAATGCCATTTAGAAAGTTAAAGATTACAAGCTAGAAAAACTCCGTTTAGCAATGTCAAAATTCTTAACATAAAAATATTAAAAGTAGAGTATAAATGATACTTAGAATATACGATAATGATTCTAGAAAAAGATTATAAAGTCACGTACAAACGTAAGAAGCCAAAAGCTCATATTTACACACGCACGTACAACACTCTTTTATATTAATTCACTCGTTTCACCTAAAAAATAAACACATTGAACGGAATAAGATAAAGCACAAGTAACACAGGTAAAAATGAATGTCACACGAACACGTATAGCTACTCGACACACTTTCCCACGTGCGTGTTACACCGCGTAACGCGCTATTTACTTTATTTTATTTATTTTTTTGTTTTTATTCATATTTTATTTTGTTATTTTTTGACTTTAATAACGTGAAAATCGCTCGACGATAATAATTAATATATTATAATAATCGATTGAACGATCGATCTTTGAGACGACAGCAATCGCTTATACAAGTGCTATCCCAACTATTACTGATGACTTTCCTCAAGAAGCAGTCTTGTGTCGTCTAACCTCGTTTTGGCTCCTCTATTCTCCCCACCAAACTATACAGCCATTACTACCGTTCCTTATGTACACATTATCGACGACGATAAAGATCGATCCTCTCGAGAAAAGAGAAATCGACAGATTAAACAAGTCCGAAAATTTCATTAATTACTCATTTTTCTAATACTTTTAAATACATTACGATTTTTATTAAGAAATTCTATTTATTAAATCAACATAATTAATATTATTTTTAGGAATATTGTATTAACCAGCCAATTTTTATTAACAATTTCTTCTTTTACTATAAAATGATTCGTTCTTGAAAGTTAAAAAATCATTCAGCGTGATAGACGTTGAGGAAACATAATAACATAGGCATTACGAAACGTTAGCTTGTAACAGTCAATTTTATATGACGTTTTTTTTTTTTTTTTTGAAAACAATTTTAATTTACATTTACTCGTCATTTATAGACATATATTTTCTTTTTTTTCCTCTTCTTCTTATTTACAATTATACATATCTGAAGCACTGTACCACAGCCACTACGTGGCTGCCCACAGATGAAGGAATGCGATCGACGGCATCAAGTTGCATCGTAGTTCATTTTCACGACATCATGCTTATGATCGCCAATAAGAAATCATTTCTTATCGGTATAAAAATAAATCAACCGCAATGTTATGGCGTTGCCAACAAGTGATCATCTGTAACGACAATGACAATAAGAGGTGAACGAAAATTCGGCGATAAAAATGATTCAACAATTCCTTTTAACGATCTAAACCGATTGACGAACATTCTCATTTATATATAAGTAAGAAAAACTATCAACATAAATTTATGCGTAATGTTTATCATTTTATTTATTTTTATATACCTATGTATAAATATATATATATATTTATATACACACACACATATAAAAAAAGAACTGAGAAATAAAAAACATCTCGCCTGATGTTTTAAAAACGTCGCCAAAAACCAAAGGCCGAGTCTAAATAAAATAAGATTGAGTGCCAAGTTCTTGCACAAAATTCTCAACAACGATCTTTTTTTGTTATTCATTCCTTCGATTAAATTTGATTCACTATTTTATCAGTTTGATTAACTTTTTCTTCGACTCGATGACTTTGAAAGCCTCGAAATTGCAAAGGAAAAGAAAGCGTTTAGTTTGAAATCGATCATGATCGGCGTACGAAGTTAAACGATCGTAATACCATCTACCTTAAAAATGTTGTAACAAATATATATAACTCCTACGTAACTCTATCTTTTTCTTACTCTTTTTGTTAACTTACCAATCCCGATCACTCTCTACAAAATAACAATTCAACACAATCAAATCAATCGCTTCGATCACATCAATTCACTAAAGCGTATGGATATATACTTATCGACATGCATTTATGATTGTTGTGCAATTTTGCTCTAGTGTCATCAAATCGTCCGACATAAATTAGACATGAAACGTGTAAGCCTTTAAGATTTTTCCGACATTGTATCATATATTGGGAAAAATAAAAAAAGAAAAGAAAAATATACGCGACATGCAATATTTTATATTGTATGACTCTAAAAAGAGAACAAGAAAAAGAAAAGACCGAAGTTTTTGTAATAAATCTTAAACTTCATTTATTTCCTTTTTGTTTGGAAAAATTATTGTAGAATTTCAACTGTCAAAATTAGTTTTTATTATCATCAGATTAAAATTTATAGATTTTTCACGTTCAAAAAATAATCTTTTAATAACAAGTCTTAACATTTTTATACTAACAAATCTTTTTTCTTTTTGATTTATCTTAATAAAAGAATAGCTATGAAGCTTCATTGCAGTACAATCTAAGACACTGTACACCCATACGAACTTGTTAATGACACAAAACGAGGAATCCATGTATTACTATAAATTTTCCTGATTAATCGATCACAAGTCTTCTTTTCCTTCATCTTTTTTAATAATGCAACGCAATCTCGTCGTAATTGCAAATGTTATAGACGTATTTTACAATTATTTTGATAAAAAATATAAAAAATAGACGTTCAGCATTCTTTTTTTTTGATAGTACAACCGAACTCAAAATGATTACACCATCATAAAAGCAATGGATGGCACAAATGGAGATAAAATAAAATACCAAATAATTACTATTGTTTTTAAAATTTGATTTTAAATTTACTCCTAATCGAACAAATAAAAAACAAATATATACATATAATTTATAATAAATCTATATTTTTTTAATTGTAAATATCCTGTATTAAAGAAATAATTTTTGTAAGAACGATAACGTTACATCAGACGTAAAACGATTGATGTTACGTGAATAATGTACTGGAGCATCATTACAACACTACCATTATCATAATCTTTGTTGTCGTCATAGTCATCACGCGCAGTTTGTGCATATTTATGTATATAAAAAAGGATAGAGAGAGAAATAGAAATAAAGAGGGGGAGGGTGGGGGAGTGTGATGAACGAGTAACGAGACGCCGTCTTTCCAACGACTCGAAACGAAACAACACCGGCAACATTCTGTTTGTGTTCTTTCTACGTCGGAATTCCAATGTTGGCGCGCGTAGCGCCGAGCTTTAACCTTTTCGATGCTCCAGACACGACGAATAACTTCACAAAAAAATGTTTACGCAAATATACGAAATGGCGCATGTATGTTTGTTTACGTATAGTCAGGAAAATAGATTCTGAAATAAGAACATTTAGCGACCTCAAAGTTAGAGGCTTAATTACCTACATTTTATAATCAAAAGTAATACCTTAAAATACATTTTAATCAGTAGGTTGCATCATAATTCTGTATAATTTACAATCAATTTCTTAAGTATTCCATAATTGGATGTGTATATATATATATACATCGAAGTAACGGAAGAATCAAACAACAGAGGAAATCATTTGTCTCCTTTTAAAATATCCTTTTGTATAAATTTGTATAATTAATTGTTCGATTTTTATTTGATTGAGAAATATTGACATACATTTAATTTACCATATTAAATTCTAAAATACAAACACGAATGATATCTCTTTCATCCTGTAAATCAATATACTTGTAATACTTTTAAATAATTCTACAAAATATTACGATCGATGAAGTGCATAGAGAAAAAATGAGACATAGATACAAATATAAATGAATTTTGATCACGTCTCGTGGCAGCAGTCTCGGCATACGATCAAAGCTTCAAAGCCTGGAAGCGAACCAACGAACCGTCATACTGTTCCCATAAGAATGTGAAATAGTAAACGAATACCATAGCGCGTTTCATGTTACGTCTTGGTTTTATTCCCAATGATATATATCGTCGCGATATTTCATAAGCATAGAAAAGATTGTTTGAGCCAAAAACGCTTAAATTTTCACTTGACTCAAATTAACTAAAATAAACTAAAGATATAATCCTGAAATGTTATTAGTCCGTGAGATTGATCAATCACCGTAAAGAACACCTGAGATAGGGAGAAAAGAAAAATGGGATGATAATGAAGAACGCAAAAGATTAATAAACATTTAAATCTAGTAAAATTTTTTTTATATTTCATAAAAAAAAAGATCCCAATTGCGTTAACGAGAACGTTCTATACTCAGTTACATTTATCGTGACAGACCGGCCCTGTGACTATACACGGGAAGAAACATCATCGCGGTTTCGTAGGAATGCGAGCACAAAATTGCAGAATGTTCCGTTGCACGATAAATTTTAAGCTTCGACGAGCGTACAAACGTGTAACGTAGTACTAACAATAAGTAGTGTAGTTGTGTAGTTGTAGCAGCAGTAGTATATGTATATACATACGTAAACGGTAGAACGATTCACGAGCATTGGATTAAGAGAATTCCAAGTTGAAAGGGGAGAAGGAGAATAATTGTTATGGTCAAGCATATAAATGATACAACTTTTTCTTTCTCGTATCATTAAAATGTCAAATGCTTCCAAATCGACATTGGCTTAATGCTGGAGTTTTACTTAAGACTAATTAGAAAAACAGTAAGCAGGAAGTGAGGGATCTGAACGTACTCGGGAATGATTGTGTCTGTAAAAAGAGAGAGAAAGAAGAGGGGGGAGATACATAGATAAAGAGAGTCGTGTGAAAAAATTGCGCAGCGAATAGCCAAAGAATCAATCTCTATATATATACATATATATATAGAGAGAGAGAGAGAGAGAGAGACAATAAGAGACAAAGATCGGCGATCCTGACACTGATAATCTACTTTACAATAGATGACAGAGTAGAACGCGCGAGAGGGACTATATTTAAGTACGCGTCACGGTAGAAGATAGGGAAAACGTTGAGATGGTGGGGGTTGTGATGACGGTGGGGGGGATGTGGGAGAGAAAGGAGGGGAGAAGAGTAGAGAAACTAGAGATATAACCTCACCTCGTCGCCAGCCTCGGCATCCTTGTTGCCGTTCTTTCCCTTGTCCTTGCTGGTCTTCGACGACGTTTCCTGGAACATAAGTAATCAAAGCATGGCAGATCTGGTTGGTGTAGTAGCGTGCGCGTGTTCACGCGTGCTTTAGACTCGTCCCTTCAAGAGAGGGATGAATTGGCACTCGCAAGAGCACGCTTCATGTGTTGCGTGTGTATACGTATGTCCTATATATATATATATATATATATATATGATGTACATAAATATACATGTATATATATATACACACACAGTTATATGTATATGTATATATATTAAAAGCACGGTATCAAATAAAAAAGGAAAAAATACCATTATTGTGTCGTGTGCGTCGGAGCCCGAGACGCGCGAGAGAGTAGTCGAAACTCACACGACCGCCTTTAATAGGCCAACGATGAATTCCTCCGTACGCAAGAGTTGGGGGACTTTTACTAGAGCGGAGCGGCGAACGCTTTTTTCGCGTCGGAGAGATAATCGAAGAGAGTAGATTTAACAACGTATACGAAGGATCGGGTCAAGAAACGAGTGAGACGACAGTTTCCACCACGCTACTACACCCTTGAGTAGCTAAGGCCGCCGGGGTTGTTCCCCCGGTGTACTCTTTCTTTCTTTCTTTTTTTCTTACTTTCTTTCTTTCTTTTTTTTCTTTCCTTCTTTCTTTCTTTTTTCTCTCTTTCTCTCTCGCGCGACACGTTAGCTCCCTTCTTTCTTCAGCTCTTTCCTTCTTCGCTCTTTCTCTCTGCAGTGGAGAAACACCATTCACGTCGCGCAGCACTGAGAGAAAAAGGGAGAGAGAAAGAGAGAGAGATAGACACACACATACACACACCACAGTAAAAGGTTGGTAGTAGAGAGAGAAAGAGAGAGAGAGAGAGAGAGATAGGGGAAATGGATAGAACAGAAACAGAAAGATCCGTAGACAGACTGATCGAGTGTAAAGAAAAACTTTGGTGGTAAGAACGTTCCGAAGACACTACAGCGCGACACCAGTAAACTATCGTGACAAACGCACCTTTTCCTTCCTTAGCCGGGTCGGCATTTTTTAACGATCTTTACAAAAACGGTATTTCACGAAGATCGAGAAAAACGCGAAGACGAGCACGCCCAAAAAAGCACGCGTATCGGCACGTCGGTCTTTGATCGCGAGCGAGCCGACGACACACGAGCACGGCATCCCTGTATGCGCCGGCCATTGGCCCTTCTTATTGGTCGTTCTATCTTCGCTGCCATCGCCATCTCTCCTTCTTTCCTTAACAAGACCGATTGCGCCACCGATTGCGCCTTTTTATCTCTTTCTCCCTTTTTTTTTCTTTCTTTTTCTATTTGTTCATTTCATTAATTTATATAGATTTTTTTTCTCGATCATTTCAACTGTAATACCGCTTATACAGAAAAAATATATTTGGATTTATTATGGACAAATTTTTCTATGAAATTACTATTGGTTGATAGATTCACCAATAAAAAGTCACATCCTTTTACATGTGATTCTATTTGTCCGTGATGTTCATTGAATAGAAATTATCTTTTTATTTAATATATATTGTCGATACTCAACGGAATAATGGTTAAAATTATCTTTTCACCACCCGCAGGGAACTTATTATCGATTTATTATTTATTGATAAATATAGATCTTTGTATAAATACACACATGAAATAGGTTGTTATATATTAAAATAAATATTTAAATGGTAATAAAAATATAGATAACAAAAGATGTGCAGCGGATTGTTAATCGATTGTTTAAACATCTGAAATGTTAGCTAGACATAATAAAGGGTTGTTTTTAAGAGAGAAATGATTATATTAAAATTATTTAATTTTGTTAATATTTAGAGACAAAATAAGAATCAATTATGGATCCAGTTCTGAAAGTATAATTCTAAGTAATTTACTAAGAGTAATAAATACTTTTATTGCGAAGTAAATTTAAAAATCTAAAATTTTAGCATCTCAAACCTACGACTTGTAAAGAAGCGATTCAAAAATGGGAAGAAAAAACGGGATTAAATGCTAGCGAAGCAAAAGAAGTCATCATATCATTTCAATGGCCTCCAATAGAAAAAATGGATAACAGTTTAGCTGTTTTTGTCAATGTAGAGTTAGTCTCTCTTTAAAGTATCATATACTTTTTTCTTAACGTATAAAGTTAAAATAATGAATAAAAATGAGTTATATTTTTCGTAGAAAATTATCTTTATCTTCTAACATGATAGAAAGAATAAGTGGAATTAACTCTTTAAAAAATTTACGAATATTATCCGTTGCTCGTAATTCTATCAAAAGTTTTTCTGGATTAGAGGGGGTAGGTGATCATTTAGAAGAATTATGGATATCGTACAATATGATAGAAAAAACCAGAGGCGTAAACTTGCTTAAAGCGCTCAAAGTTCTATATATTGGTAATAATTTAATACGAGATTGGGTAGAATTTAATCGTTTGCAAGAAAATCCTAATCTAGAAGATCTATTATTTATAAACAATCCTTTATGGGAAAGCATGGATACTGAAGCATGGCGTACTCAGGCCATAAAGAGACTTCCAAATTTGAAGAAACTCGATTCAATACCAATAGTGTATGTATAAAGTGATTAGATATTAACATAGATAAAAAAAGAAATGAAACTCAAATATGTTTTTAGCCGCGCTACTGATGACGACGATGATTTATAAGATGCATCACATTGGATGAAATAAAATCAATCAAAGAACAAAATATAATGCATGTATTTACATGTGTAATGCTGTCCCCCCATGATAAAAATGTATTACAATATTGTATTTTTTTTTCTTATTATTTATAATTCAATGTAATGGGTATCCTTCTTTCTTTGTACTTTCCTGTTATTGTATTTGCTTTCTTTCATATATAAATCACAGCATTATTCATAATTTTCTACTTTAATATCATTTAGTCCAAGTTCTTCATTTTGCTCAAAGCTTCTTTCATATTTTGTGATTTTCAATTTATCATCAGGTCCGTCATCTGACAGGGTTTGTACAAAACTATTTCCAGCTGGATCATCCAATATTAAAGTTATTGTTTTTTTCCCTTCAAGAATGTCTGTTAGCTGTGATATAAATACTTCAATTCTGTTAACATTTTCAGCATCCTTACTATCACCCATGAAGGCTGTAGATGATAACAATTGCTCTTTAGTCGCTGCAATAACACCTTCCACAGTAGTAAATCTGCCTCCTAAAGCTGCTGGGCCAACTTCTAATTCAAGTTCTGGTATTTCCATATAACATGTTTCCGACTTTAATAAATCTCTACTAAAATCTTCTTTTCCCGTAATGGTTACCTCTATTTTAACTCCTAGAGGCTCTACACCTCCACCACTTTTAACTTCGTTAGTTCTATGACCGCATGCTTCGCACATCGTTGCCATAATCACGACTTCTTTAAAATGTGGTATATCTATATAAAGTAAAAATTTAAGGAAAAGTAATATATATTTAATATAACAATTTTTTAATTATACAAAATATAAAGCTACAAAGAGAGAGAGAGAAAGAGAGAGAGAGAGTGATTAGCCAATTAATTTTTATCTCCGAAAAAAGGATACTTGTCAATTTCATATTAGTCTCACAAGGACTATTACAATCGGGACAATTTGTAGGGAAAGATAAAACTTCACCCTCAATATCTTCTAACGTATGTTCTCCATCTTGTATAGGTTTTAAAAGAGCTTCTTCATTTTCGTTATAAATTCCTAGTAAATGATTTTCTCTTTCTGATCTCTTAAAGTAAGTAATTTTGCACTGAGAATCTTTAAGCGGTACATTTGGGTTTTCAACATGGCAGTTTCCAGATATATCTTTAAAAATAATTGTAAATGGTTTGCTTGGTATTTTAAGATCTCGTAATCTTGTTAAAAATTTATCTATCTCCTCCGCGGTTTCTGGATATTCTTCTCTGCGTCTTGATTGGTCTTGTTCCAATCCTTCGATACTACGATCTATTATACCTTCAATCGTAGTAATTTCTGCTTTTTGAGATCCTTGCAAGATCTCAAAATCTATTTCTGGTAGGTGAACGCTGGTATAATCTGACTTTATTACTTGACGATTCAAGTCTCTTGGCGTGCTAACTTGTAAGGTGATTTTAATACCTTTCTCAGATATTTTACTTCCGCTTTGAATTTCATTATTTTGAAAACCACAATTCTCGCAATTGAAAGAAATTACCACAACATCTTTGTAATGCGGTATTTTAGTCAAGAGAAGTCTTGTAATACCCTAAATATAAATGAAACACAAGTAGTTAACAATGAAATATTATATATTTTGAATTTAACAACAATTTATCTATCTATCCATTTATCTTACATTTTTGCCACAATTTACACAAAGACTTTCTATCTCGGTAGTTTCTGGTTCAGGATCATCTGCCGTAAAATTACGAAAAAGTGATTTACATACGGAATCAGGTTCTGCCTTCCTTTCGCTCGCTGCCATTTTCTTAGTTTTTTAGGTTATGTCTTACATTCTATATTTATTATAATTGACCACGAAGTATGTTGTTAATCGGAATGTTTAAGAAGAGCAACTCGAATATAGAAAGTACAAATATTTTCATTAAATATTGTGAATAGATAAATTTGGGTAGATTTAAATCTATCAATGACATTTCAAGGTAATAAAAAAAAAACGCGGGAAAGTGTATAAACATGTCTTCTAGTATCCTAACGTTTGAAAGTATCGTTGCTTTTTAAAAAAAAAAAAATTAATATACATTTTATAAGAATTAAAATTAAATGTGTGTGTGCTTATGCAATTCATGTTAGTTTGGATTAGTTGTTAAAATAATGGTTGACGAAGAACTAATTAAAAATATTCAAGCGACTTTCTCTCTCTATGGACTTAAATTATCAAGGTAAGAAAATAATTGATTAATAAATTATTACAATAATTAATATTTTGTGTGATAAATATTAATTTACTTTTCTAATTTATACAAATTAATTTTGTTTAGAACACTCGGTCATTCTGTGGCCAAAGAATTATTACACATAAATGAATCGGAGAAAGATCAATGGCTTACAGGTGTAATAGAACAAATATTATCTCAAAATTTGAAAGATCCACATGTGGAAGTTGATCATGTTAAAATTGCTATAACAGATTTTATGAGATCAGATATATTGAAAGAAACTGAGACAAAATTAAATGTTATTGATGCATTCGAAATACCAAAAATGTCATACGATCTTAGCAAGAAGAAATTTGTGTTACATAAAGTTTCAATGGACTTATACTCAGAAGTAACACAAAAGACTGTAATTTTTAAAGATAGGTTTGAATATATAAAATACAGAATATTAAGACATGAATCATTTATTTTGCGATTTTTTGGAGGAGATCTAGTATCTAAAATAAAATTAACAGAAATTGAATCATTGGAGAGCTTGAATAAAGCTGAAAATATTTATTTATTAGGGCTTATATCCGAACTTTTTGAAAATCAATATTTCTTAGAAGATCCAGGAGGATCGATAAGAATAAATTTGAATAAAGCAATATCCTTTTTAGACTAATGTATAAAAAGATGAAGTAAATTTTATCTACATATTAAATTCATTATATTTGTGTATATTTTTCTTACAATTGTATATATACATTTTTCAAGATGGTCTGATTCTTGAAGGTTCTATAGTAATAATTAAAGCTAATTTCTCTCATGGGGTATTAAACGTTAAAGAAATTGGATTTCCACCAGCAGAATCACCTGAAAATTCGCGTGCAGATTTTGGAGATGCTAATACATTTGGTGGACCTCATCCTACATTATTGAAACTATCTGAAAAGTTGAAAGTACTTGAACAATCCGATGAAAAAGCAAGGATGATATTTCTATCGGATTTGTGGCTTGATCGTACAATCGTATTAGATAAATTTAAACTTTTGTTGGAAGCATTTATAGACTTTCCACCATCAGCTTTTGTAATATGTGGAAATTTTTTAAGTTTTCCCGAAAATGAATTCAGTCCAGTGGCAATGAAGGATGGATTCAAGAGATTGGCCGATTTAATAGTTCAATATCCAAGCATAAAAGAATCTTCTAAATTTATATTTGTACCAGGTCCTTGCGATTTAGGTGCACCGAAGATTGTACCAAGAAGACCATTGTCTAAATTTGCAATCGAAGATATCCAAAAAGCTATACCTGGAGCTATATTTGCCAGTAATCCTTGCAGAATTCAGTATTATACTAAAGAGATTGTGGTATTCAGGGAAGATATGTTGATTAAAATGTGCAGGAAAACTATACGTTTTCCTAGTGGAATTGAATCAAATATACCTTATCAAGTAAGTTTTCTAATACATGTAATATTAACAATTAAAATTGTGTTATTAAAAGGGAACTTTATTTGATCTGTTCCAGTTTGCTAAATCTATTATTTGTCAAGGACATTTGATTCCTTTACCACTTCCAGCAAGTCCTGTTTATTGGAAACACGATTATGCCTTACGTTTACATCCTACGCCCGATGTAATTGTAATCGCAGATCAATATGAACCATACTGGACCGTTTTCTCTGATTGTCATGTGATAAATCCTGGATCATTTCCAAACAGTAAGTTTTCATTTAAGTGTTATGTGCCTGCAGACAATGCGATCGAAGAGTGTGAAGTTTGAAGTACATAATAATTTTTTAATCATATTAATAATATAAAGAATAAAATATTACTAAATAATTTTCCTAAACAGGTTGTTTCTTTTTTCAATTAATCACCCGAAAATATTTATCAGTTAAGTATTTATTAATTTTCTAAATAACAAAATCACGCCGGTTTACAATACTTAATAAACTTCTATCTAGTTTATAACTTAAGTTACAACAAATATTAACGTTGATTATATGTATGTAAAATAAAATAAAACGTGAACATCGAAAATAATTTATAAGTTCATATATCGAGGATATCAGGGTACATTTTTGGGTCCTCTATATTCAATAATACAACACGAAGAAGTATTTCAAAAATAACTTATTAATGTTTACTAACATTTTGAATACATCCAATAAGTTTAACATTGTGAAACGTAATACATATTTATTTAATCCTTTCGCTACGACCGGTGACTATAGTGTCACCCAACGCCTGCTATGTACGAGCGATGACTACAGTCATTGTGCATGACTTTGAAACTTTCCATACGGACTTATATTATTAAAAGTTATATTTTCCAATTGTATTTTGTGATAGTTTTTTCATTTTTTCTTTTCTTCAAACTATTACAGATAGTTTTAAAGTGCACACCTTCAGTGCGTCGAATTGTTCAGCGGGAGTAGCGCGCTGTAGAATTCGTCCGTAGCGAAAGGGTTAAATTCTCCTAATCCTTCTCTTCGTTTATAAATGACAATAAGTTTTGAACTAATAGCATAATCGTATATCTTAAAATTTTGTTAAAGAACAAATGATACGTATTAATTTTTAAAAAATCTTTTTCATTATCGATTTGTATAAATAGGTACATACAATACTAAACACTGGGCTCCTACAACTTTTCACAGTATATATATATAACAATATTACAAGTAAAGAACGGACCTTGATATTGCTCAATACTTGTACTGGAAGTATGAATGATTGTTGGTAAATTAATTGTGGCGTCTTTGTTTGAAATCATGTAATTTAAAGATAAAACCAACAATGCCACATGAGATTGCATAACGAAAATGGACAATCATTTAATGATATTCTTCACTTTTAATTATATAGATGTAATTATTATCTATATTCAAGAACCAAGGGAACTCTTAGATTACTTAAATCGTACGAAAAAGTTGCATTTTTGTCAACTTCACAGAGAAAAAATATTCAATACCTGCAAAGTAGTAAAAAGTGTATGGTATTTGTACGGAGAGACAAAAAGAAGAAGAAAAAAAAAAAGAAATTTCGCTAAATAATAACCAAATAAATATATTAAAGTTGTTATTTGAAATATTTAACAATAAATTTTTCAGCATAGAATTATGTTAGGGAGGGAGGGGGCGGGGGTGATTACGTTAAGAATTATGTTAACAATTATGTTAACAATGTAAGAACTGCAGGAGGTATTACATGTACTTAGAGAACGTCGAATGTGGTATGCATATTATATGTTACAATACCATTTGTAAAAAAAAGGAACGTTTTTACGTCTATTGCACAATTCTTACGCGCGATATGCTTTAAGTTTGCATATTATCCTTTGTCTTTCGTATTGTATATATACTATTTAATTTCTCCTTCAAAATTTATCGGCTAAACGTATTTATATAGTAAATACATAATAATACATAATACGTTTTATGTACCAATGCTTCTTTTTCATATGTAACTATATACAGTTGTGTAAGTCCAGTAATTAACGTTACAATTTCAGTCGACGGACGATCTAACTGTCCTTCAGACTCTGTGTCTCACGAACCCTGCGCTTGCGCTTGTGCAATTTGTTGTAGTTCTTCTAAAAAAGAAAGAAATAAATATGAGTTAAAGATTGCGTGAAGAAGGAAAATTCTTCGTGACTTTTTTTTCCCATAAATATGATTAACTTTATTATTTACACTCTATCATCCGGAACGAAATCTTTTTTGTTCTTGAAACAAATCTTTGAACATATCTCTCTCTTCATTAGCAGGTTTTTTCTTTTTTTATAAATTCCTTTTCATTGACGTGATCATGTATTCATTTTTTCTCAGACAACGAATGAAGTAAAAATTAACAACGCAACTTATATTATTCGTTACATTTAGTTTTTAATAATTTGTATTATTTTGTTAATCATTACATCTTTTTTAATTTCGAAATAAAAAAGATAGAAAAAAAATTAAGGGGCAAATTCAATCATTAACTTACTGTCTTTTTGATATCTTCGGCAAGCTTGGTTCCTTTCTTCGGCATCAAAGTACCACAGTGTGATTGCATATCGCGTTTTGTATGCTGGTTGTACTTCGTGAGGATTTCTTCTATCTGACCAAAAGAAAAGTATTCTATCGAGTATAGGCTCGATATCGGCTACTCGGTCTTCACTCCAACCTTCTGGAAATATCCTTAGAAGGCCACCATTTGTCTGTAATTATAAAACAAGTTAACGACATAAAATTATTTGAATAAAAATAATTATAAGTGGCATAAGTTACATTTTCCTGTATCATTATTGTAAGTAAAAAAGTACGATCCTTTATTTAATTTTTTTTTATCATATATCTATCTCTCGAGTCTAAAATTCAAGTTTATTGTATAAGTCACGAAGATCCAATACTTACTTACGCGAATACAAGATAAAGAATACATTTTTTGACAATAAAATAGAATTAAATTGAACAAATTCATATACATATAACTTATAAATATATGTATATATTCATATACATATTATAACATATAACTTCAAAGTTACATGATCAAATGATAGAGAGTCAATGATTACATTTCTTCATCAGTCATGCTAATAGGAATTAAACCAAAAGATAGTTTATGTATCAAACTTCCGTTCTGTTAAGATACCTTACACCTGGTACGACTAAAGTCCTTGAACAGAACATGTGTTAAAATTCTTCCATATTTATCGTTTAGGTCAACGTAAATATTGCTCAACAGGCAATCAAGCGAGCAAAGTCGAACCATACGAGTCTCTGCTGTCTATTGAACGTGGGTGTACGTTGGATTCAGCACGTAAGCATCGAAAACCCTTCATGCCTTTACTTTTCCTATTTTTGGTACGAAGGATGCGAGATATTTTGTATCGTGATATGAAAACGAGAAAAATTTGAAAGTATTATTTGTTTCAATGAATACGAACAAACAGATTTATTAAATGTTCGATATATTTATTAGAACATATTCTTAAAAACAAGACGATTTAAATTTATCTTGTTAAAAGTTTGTTTCTCAATGACGAATATGCGTATAAACGCGTGAATCATAAGTATGAATCGGCAATGTGTTATATATATATATGATTCTGTATCTATGTTAAATATCTGAAATATATATATATATATAAATTAAATTAAAAAAAAAAAAAAAAAAAAAAAAACAAATTAAACAAGATAAAAAATACTATTTGATATGTTTTATACTTTAAATAATGTATATTGAAAAGTATACGACGTATCTATTGTTTTTTATTATACCTTATATATACTTAGTGATTTTATATATATAATTAAATATAGCGCCTGAGGAGACACTGAAATCAATATGTATGAACTTTCTTTTTAGTTAACGTTAGATAAAATAAAGATTTTGTAAATGTATTTTTTACAATTTTTACATTTACATATTGTACATACGATTTAAAGAGTGGAGTTCTATATTTGAATACATGAAGTAAGAAAAAGAATGTGGGTACAATTAAAAATTAAAATTTACCTTAACATCCCAATCTTGATTAAGATAGTAAATCGCTGTGATACATCGTCCATCTCGGTTAGGATTATCCACATGCTTCACATAATGCGAACCGTACCCGGGGTAGCAAGCAACCATCGCCTGGAAAAAAAATATAAAAAAAGATAAGAGAAAAGGAATGAATGCGAGTGTCGTTGTGTTACGTCGTTGAAAACGTAACAAAAAACATTATGAGAGAGGGAGAGAGAGAGAGAGAGAGAGAGAGAGAAAAAGCTTATTCCTATTATGGAGCAACGACCCACATAAACTGAATTTTGAAACTACGGTGTACGTTTGTACATTCATATCTTCATTTTGATGTCTTCTGTAACGTCACATAACTTTAAAGTCCCCTTTTATATGTACGTTTATAAATATATATAAATATATTAAAGTTTACTAAATATAAAAGTTATATTTACAATTAGTATAATATAATTATATTCATGAAATTTTAATTGTATGATTTTCTAATTGAAATCATATGTTCTTTTTTAAACAAATATCACGTCACATAATTTGTTGTTAAACACGAACAAAAATCGGGTTATAAAGAATGAAAAATTTCGAACTACAGTTATTTGAATAACTTATAAAATTTCGTTAGCCTATTTTTGAATTTAAAATAAGAAAGAATTAAAATGTTTTTTTTCCTTCTGATTTTAGAGAGTTTTGATGGATATTTATAAGTGTCGTAATAGGAATGACTAAATGCCAAGAAAGAACATTACTCGTTTCAAAACATGTGTACGCGTCTCGGTAAGGAGGAAAATTCGATAACAAAGTATATCTAATGTTCCGGGTATTTCCGTAGTTTTCTATTATTCAGGAAAAATGATATCAATAAAGCTTTGTTCTAAGCTTCGAGACTTCTTTATTTTTTAGTTAATAAATATATTTTTCTACGATATTTATGAAGAAAATTATTTTATATTATATGATATTTCATTAATTACAGTTAATACATAACGATAAAAAATGGATATTGTAAAGAATACGTGTTAGTGCAAACGTGCGCATGTTTGTATGGGATTTAAAAATATGAAAAGTACACAGACGGAATATGAGTTAATTAAAGCCATACTTCCGGAAAGGGACAACACTAATCTAGCTGCCCTTCGTGCGAGTAAATCACGTATGTGTCTTTATCAATTGGAAACACGTGTAAAGCCTTGGTCCTACGCATGTCCTTCGTTTATATTATCTCTTTGTTGATCTGAAAATCTCACGTACGGACGTTCTATTTATAAATCCAAAAAATAGAATAAATTTTCTTACAGGAATATGCACTTTAATTTTGGATTTTTCTAAGTTAAATGTCTAATATCGAATATTTTGAATATATAATTAAATAAATATCAAGTGAGAGAGAGAAAGAATACGTTAAGTAATAAAATCAATATCGTACATACATATATTGAATTTGATTTAAATTTAATTTTTTTAGTATAATGAATTTATGTTTTTAAGATCTTATGTTATCGTTCTAATTCTATTCTATAATGAAAAGTATATGTATATTATTATACATATATATGTATCTATAAGCAAGTAACAAGCAAATGATGGTAATTTTCTCATCGCTATAGTTTAACCGAAGATTTAAATAATAACAGTCTGAAAACTTTCAAAGTTAAAAGGTCAAAGTCAACAATATATTATTTCATGATAAAATATTCCACCTAATGAATATTTAATATTTATCTGAATCGAATTACTCATCTTTTAACAAATGTGGCTAACTATGCATTATTTACATTACTTAATAATAATTATGTAATTAATATTAGATAATTAATTATACAGATTGTTTTTATTTATCATCATTTTTAAATTCGTTGGCTTGTTATATTTTTAATACAGACATACAATGTATTACTAACACATTATAAATATTTTTTTTATCCTAGAAAAAAAATTGAAAGGATAACACAAAAATGAATGTTTGCCTTCATAGGGAAGCCCCTATCATCTCCCCTATCTCCTCCCGCTAACTATAATAAATTAATTGCTGTAGGCAGATGTAAAATCCATAGATAATGTATCAAAACCACAACATTAAATTGAAGTTGTATAATATTTCATTGAGGAAGGTGACGTGCCTTAACTATGAAATGTAAAAAGCACGTTCGACGTATGTATCACGTGTACAATGCACGTTTCGTATCTACTAAAAAAATAACAGTCTTTATTTATTTAGAAATAATTATATATATATATTTATATATAAATACAAGTATTTTTTTATTCAAGAGGAAAGAAACGTTTTAGTTTTGACCATAGCATCATTGAACGATCATTGAATTTTAATTTTATAGAATATTTTGTAAGAGAGAATAAAAAAGAAAAATGAATACGTTATCATAACATGTTAGATAATCAAACTGATTGTGATCGCATCGATATCTGTAATAATTTAACGGAACGTTTGTAATAGATAAGAATAATGTCTAAGAATGGAATCTGTTAATAAAATATCTTGAAAAATATTTGCTCAAATGCAGAAAGTTGTTTTAAAATGTGGATAAAAGGACAAGTTATTAGAAGTAATTGGAAAATAATGGGGAGATATTAGTTATCCTTTAAGAATAATAATCGTTCTACTTTTTTTATTTTTTTCTCTTCCTCTTTTTCTCTCTTTGCTTCTCCTTACCCGCAAACAAAAAATACTTTACTAAATGAAGGAGAGAACTCATTATGATAAGAAAAGGACAATCTATTAAGACTAATACGTGACACGATAAAAAGCAAAGCGATAATTGTCGCTTTTTTGATTAGCTACGATGAAAATAACACAGTCTAACAAATGTCGTTGTAATCTTAGGTCGAGATGGTATTACAAACGTACTCTATAAAATAATAAATCAAATTTATTTGAATCATAAGTGTAATTCGACGAAACGAATATACTACGCGTCGCGAAAATCAATTAAAAAAGAAACGATTGCGAGGAAGGTTCGTCATATAAAAAGTTAAATCTTTATCTTAACTTGATCTAATTTTAAATCAGTCGAGACAGAATTTTATAATTCTTAAGATATCTGTATAACATACATAAATTGCACAAGATTAATCTAATTTCAATTTAGAGTACACATCAATAATCGAAAAGAGAGGGAGAGCGAGAAAGAAGTGGATAAAAAGTATTACAATCGATTGCCAAATGAAACAAATAAATCATGTTAGAGGATAAGCTATAAAAAAATATTTATCAAATGGTCAAACACTTGCGAATCGATCGATCGTTTTTATGTTTTAACGCTTATTGTTAGTCAGTTTATTATATTTTTCTTTTTAGCTTAATCAAATTGATTAGACTTTTTTTTATAATACATATCCAAGAATCTTACGATATTATTTTTTTTCACGGAAACATAATTAAATTATTACCCAGAAAAGGAAGGATTCGAAGATCACGTATTTTTATAATAACAACGCAAATAATAATACCACTTGATTGAGTTTCGTTGTTTTTTTTTTTTTTTTTTTGAAAAATTAGATTAGCGATTAAATGGTAAAAGTATGCTCTTGTTTGAGTATCGATTTGAGTATCGATTGATTCTTACTCGATATTTTTTTCCCCGTTATTAATATTTAAGTTTTTGACTTTTTCTTTTTTAAAGATTGATTTTCGATCGAAAAGTGTGTATCGATTGTTCAAAATAGGCATCGAGAACCCTTCGATCCCAAATCTATCGGGTCTAATAATAAACGTCGGAGAATGTGTACACGCACGTGCTTATGCAAACTAGACAAAAAATCTACACGAATAGTATATACATAAAAATATTCAGACAACACCATTTCAAACTCGAATAACTTCCTGTTTCAAACTGGACAAATCTAAATTTTTGAATAATTGTTTAATAAACATGTATATATATATATATATANTATATAGAGAGAGAGAGAGAGAAACAAAGAGAGAAAGAACTATTATAGCTAAAAAAACTCGTTAATTATTAGATATTTACTTAATATTCAGAATTTCTTTTACCCAATTTATAAAAAGTTATTCTATAGAGAAAACTGTCCGAAAATCTTGCTGACTCAATACATATATCTACACTATCATTATATATACAACTTTATTAATTTTATTTTGAATTTCAGCATAGAAGCTATGCGTTCTGTTATTGATAATAATGACACAATAATAATAATATGTTATATATATATATATGTAAAGAGCGATACTAAAAATGAAGCATACAATTAAATTTTAAAAAGCACAATAAAATAAATAAAAAAAAACAATTGCTAACTACTTCCATCTTATTAAAAATATAAATACATCTATATACGAATCGCGATAAGCTTTGGCGCAGTTAACCGCACACAAGTTAGTCCTTTCGCAAGACGTTCATCTTCAGGAAGGTTAAAGAACAAGAAATGCAATTTCTTGTGTGATCAAGCTTTTGATTTTCGGGGGAAAAAAAAACGGAAATAAAACACCACCGTCATTATAGGAGATTTGAATGTAAGTGCACACATGGCGCAGACATTTATACCTATGTACGAAGCACGTACGTAATGCGTACGAATGAAAGCGACTCGTGGGTGGCTTCACGGATAAGCGTAGGTATGGGGGAGGGGGTAAAGGCGTACGTGACCGACTGCACTTTGTGAGTTCTATCATTCCCCTCTCGCCCTCAAGCGTTATTCGTTCAACGTCCGAGATTTTTTTCGAAGATCACGACGATTTCAGGATCCTGACCTTCTCCACTAAAGTCCTACTCTTTCTTCTACTTTCTTTTCTTCTTTTTTGTATCTTTTTCTCTTCTGTACACTTTTTTTTATTCTCTTTCTACTGGTTCTCCTTCCTTCCTTCCTTCCTTCTTTCATACTTTCTTTCATTCTTTCTTTCTTTCTTTCTTTTTCGCGCGGATTCTTATACGACCAACAACATATTTTTTCTTTTAGATCCTAAGTTCATGATTTATCAAAAAACTTGATGAGTGTAATTAAAGTGTTAATATTATAAAATAAATTTTCTTTTTTTATAAAATGGAAGAGTATTGGCACCTATAAAAATTGTTTGCAAATATAAAAATAATTTGTATATATGTATCGAGAGAGATAGTTGCTCGACCAACATGACAAACATTATTTTTGACGATCTTTCTTTGTTAACCTATTTTTATCTGTCTAATCAACGATGTAAATAATCTCAGGACTGGAAAAGCTTATGTGAGAACGGTTCGGCTAATTTTACAACTGATATTCGATCGCACTGACCATAGTGAGAAACAAAACACGTACTTACTCATTTGCTAAGGTAACTTTCCATTTGTTTGCACGACTGTTACCAAAACATTTCAAGTTTGCGTTACTTTTTACGGAATAGTCGATATATTATCGTACAAAGAACAAATACTTCTTCTCGTGCTTAATACATCCTTTAATAACAAAATGATCGAACATTTGGCGAATCCAATTTCGAGAGATTATTCGAGATATCGATTCTATCGATACGAACGGTAATACAATAATTTCAATTTTTATTTACAAACGTCTCGAATTTTGGCCATTTAATATGTAGTTATCAAAAAAATTTTTTTTTTTTTTTTTTTTTTTTTTTTTTTTTTTTTTTTTTTTTTTTTTTTTTCCATCAAACAACAAACAGAGAAATAATTTGACGTTTATATAAATATTTTATAAAAAATACTAAATTATAAGTAATCATTAATCTTAACTCATCGCTCTTGATATTTAATTGAATAAATATAGAAATTTGATCACAAATGTATATTCTTTTTTGCTTACCTTAGTTCTGCCATTAATTAAATATTGTCCCATTTTCCCATTATTGGTCATTTTGTTTGCCTTCATGATAACAGCGTCGACCCGCGATATAAGCATGGCGATATTTGGACACTGTTTTTCCTTTCCATCCAACCATGTTATCTGATCACCTCGAATTGTTTTTAAGTCGTTTGCACTAGCCTTATTGGAAACCAATTGTCCATCTTTAAATAATCCTGCACTGTACATATTTAAAACTTCTTTCAGCACTTCATTGCCACTTTCGTAGCCTAGGAAATTGTCTATCACGCTCACACCAAATTTGTTCATGTCTTTAACCACATTTTGACTAATACTATCTATCATTAATTCTAAATTGTTCTTATTCATATGCAAAAAAGGAGGTGAAAAATCGTCTAAGTGAAATTGAACGCTTGGAAAATTCTTCATGCCATTGTGGTATTGCGTCGGCATATTTAATTCCAAATCTTGTATATTACCAAGAAATCTTGAACTCTCTAAAGCAGGATTTAATAATTCCGCTCTAGCTCCTAAAATGGTATCTTCTGAACTACCTTCATAAGTTATAGGAGAAGTCCAGCCATTGGCTTTGATAATTTGGCTGTTTTTCGACTTTCCGTTCTGTTTATCCTTAAAAGTTTGATCTTTGCGTTTCTGATTAACTACGCTCTCAAGCTGCTTTTTAGCATCTGTAATAAAAGAATCAAACCTTATGTTAAAAAAGAAATAATCTCTTTTAAAACTCTTTACAACGCTTGCATTAAATTCTATATAAATAAAATAAGTTGAAAACTCAAATATATCTCAAATTATATATAGAACAATACGAAAGAGTCTAAAATTAATGTCAAGAAACAAATTCATATCAAAGATTTAAATTCAATTTGAAATTGTCGTTATGTTTATAAGACGCGTCACTGACATTAAAATAACTCTAAAATTAAATATACGTTGCATTGTAAGATTAACTTAGGAATGATAAACTGAAAGACAAAAATACGAAAAATAAATAGAAATAGAAAGAATAATATTATACCTTGAATTGATTTCAAAGAATTAGAACATAAAAAATCCTTGTTCCCAATCTTTTCCCGTGCGGTGTAATCACCGACGAAGTTTGCAAAAACTTTGTTGGTAAGTTGAGATCGGTCGTTTAGGTTAGAAAGCGACCGTGTGTTTTGTTGCGTCTTGCGTTTACTCGAAGAGGAATAATTGCCAACTACACCTGAAGCGCAATCTCTGTTTGTGTTGTTTGTGGGAAAACCAGTGAGCGAAGAATCATTTAACCAGGATGCTTGAGTTCCACAAAATTCTTTGTGACGTTTCCAATCACGTTTTTGATGTTCTTTTGTACAATAGAAAGCGGACTTACACCTTGAACACCTCAACAATTTCTCGGTCTTCTCGCAAAGTGCACAATGTACCGTATGTACCAAAGGATTAACATCACTACCTTTGGCTGTCTGCGGACAACTAATCATTGGCCCAGACATCTTTCGCCGTTTATTCCCTCGCCACGAGTGCTGCCGCTACCGACGACATTTCTCCGATGTGGGAAGTCACACACGCACTTGTCTCCCCTTCCCTCCCCACCTTTTCCTCTTACTTTTCCTTCTCTTTATTTTTCGCGTGAGGAACAACGCGCGCGCTATCGGAATACCGCAGTATTCACTTACTACATATACTACCTTAAAGAGAAAGAGAGAAAAAGAAGAAAAACTAGGGGTAAAGTATCCGTGAACGGCGACGAAAGGGTGTGGAGAAAAAGCGAAGAAGAGAGAGCAAAGACAAGGACGCAACTAAACTAATACAAACGCATTGTTTTACACGTTTACTTTTATTATGCCCATAAAATAGCACGTGCAGACTCTGTGTAAGCGCCTGTAAGCGAATTCGAGACACTCCTAAGCGAACGAGCAAGCTGTGTGAATCTAAAACTAATGATATTTTTCATCTACGATCATCAAAGAACAAAGAACAACAATTTAGACGCATTTCACTAGCTCGCCGCTCACTCAGCTTTCTCTTTTTCTCTCTTCTCTCTGTGTTACTGATCTGCCACAAGGGCGCGCCACTTGGCAATTCGTCTCTACGAATCAGAACGCGTTTTTCCAACACTCGACGTTAATTCTTAACAATATTTTATTTATATATTTTTATTGCGACACACGTATTTTTTATGTTCAAATTATTATTAAGTTTTTAACGTTTACTGTGTTATTATAAATATTGTTTAAACGAATGTTTTCTAAATGATATACGACGATGTATTCTTTCTCTTTTCGGTCTATTTCTTAATTTAACGGACAAAAGTTCGAAAGAAAACATTTTCTTTCATATGATTCATCTCATTCATTGATTGTTAAGTCGTATACATATCTATATATTCGTGTCTATATACGTCAGCAGTCAATAATAGATTAGCAGTCAATTTCAGACCAGTAGGAAAAGATTTTCTCATATATTATATATTATTATTCTATTTGTATATATATAGAAAAATATGCTTGTTAGTACACCAATTTGGATACATTTATATGTATTGAAAGCTTGATACATTTTACAGGTATACAGACGAGTAAGAATTTGTTTTGATTCTTGAAAAACATCATTCTCAATCTATTATCTTAGAATTAATAATGATCATGCATAGTAAACAAAATATTACATTTATTAACTTATTGTAATTAACTTATCTTTGACTTTGAAATTTTATATGGGATCCCACTATTTTTATATGTATACAGAAATATCCTCTAGATTGATTGTTATGTCTCAAAATGTATTAATATTTCTAATCACAATTGAATAAATGTCTAGAAGAGTGATATATTATATTTTAACAATTTGAATAATTGTACTCAATAGTGTGTTGCAATTAATAAATTATTTTACCATCATTAGATTATTATTAATTTTCCAAAATAGGAGAAGGAAGTTTTTTAAAGTTATACTTCTTTTTTACATCAGTGTTGTTTTTTTACATTTTGCAGTAAAAGTAATGATTTCTTTTATGTTTTCTTGTAAATTTCATGAAATATGACATACGTCCTTTTTCTAAACGCACCTTCAATTATATTTTTTCCTATATGTGATAGGATAAGATTAGTGGACATGGAACATTCTCCTAAAGACGTGGAACGACTGCAAGAATATTATTGACCACAGATGTATTTATATACATATATAGTTAATGTTTATGTAGCATGTTGCGTGAGTGTGAGAAATAAACTTGCTAGATGATACCAAGCGATAATTCTTGTTACTGTGACGACGCGTTCTTTGGCTTGTCAAAACAATACACGTGACACGATCGTGTTCTACGTATGAAAGTTTTTGGGTCGTTTCTTGTTAGTGTAATTATTTTTATTAGAAATATTTAAAATGAATACTTTTATACAAAATGTATATATTAAAGACGGAGAATATACGAAAACAATTTATTCTATGGTAGATTATTGTTTTTTTACCTTAACACGTTTTTAAAGAATATAATTAACTTTCTTACTTTTATATCGTTAATAGACTGCTATTAATTGTTATAAATATAATTGAAATTATAGATCAAGGAACAACGATATGCAGACACAATTAAGGTGTTACTTACTCTTTTCGAGTCTCATCCTGATGTATGACCTGTTGATTTATATATGTATCTTTTGTTATATGCTATAAATAAATTGTTTTATGTATATATGATTCTTTTTGCAGTCTAGACCTTGTTTATCACTTCTTGCTCATTGTCATTTTTATATGCAAGACTTTGCAGCAGCAGCTACCTGTTACGAAAAGTTGGTTCAAATATATCCAGAAGAAAATATATATAAATTGTATCATGCTCAATCTTTGCATCAGGCTTGCATGTATCAAGAAGCTTGGTCGGTTTCCTTAACTGTCATTGATTCGAGTAATTTAAATTATAAAGTAAAGAAATTACAAGCAGCTATAAAGTATGGTCAAGAAGATATGGTAGCTGCAAAAAATCTTGTAGATCAATGTCTACTCGATGATGTGGATACAGAAGTAAATTTAGGATGTCTGTTATATAAGGTATAACTCCAAAATATGAAGAAGAAATCGAATTGTACAGATGTATTTTCTTTTTTTTTTCTAGGAAGAGGAATATGAACAAGCTTTAAAAAAATTTACGAATGCTTTACAAATTACAGGATTTAAATCTCATTTGTCTTATAATGTCGCACTTTCTTATTTCAAATTAAAAGAATATGCAGCTTCTTTGAAACATATTGGTAAAAAATGTCCATTTTACATTGCCAAATAATTATAAACTATGTATATTTTATAAAATTTGTATAATTGCATTTGTTCTATATCTTTGTCTATAGCTGATATTATCGAGCAAGGAATTAGAGAACATCCGGAATTAGGTGTGGGTATGGCAACGGAAGGTATCGAAGTTCGTAGTGTCGGAAACACGCTTATTCTCCATGAAACAGCTTTAACAGAAGCTTTTAATCTTAAAGCTGCAATAGAATACCAGTTGCAAAATTGTAATTGCATAAAATAAGCTTCAATAAAATGTAAGTAAAGAAACAGAATGCATTGTTCTAATTATGCTTTGATTTTAAGATGAAGCTGCTAAAGAAGCATTAACCGATATGCCTCCACGTTCTGAAGAAGAATTAGATGCAGTTACATTACATAATCAAGCATTATTAAATATGGATACAAAACCTAGTGAAGGATTCGAAAAATTACAGTTCTTGTTACAACAGAATCCTTTTCCACCTGAAACATTTGCTAATTTACTATTGTTATATTGTAAATATCAGTATTATGATTTAGCGGCAGATGTTTTAGCTGAAAATGTACATTTAACATACAAGTATTTGACACCGGTAAGTTTTAATATTATTAAATATCTTTATTGTAATGATAGTTCCATGATTTTTGTAATAATAATGACAGTAATTATTAAACCTGTATACTACAAAAATCTTAATGTAATAAGCTTCTATATAAGATAAACTTAATTCGTATGTTTTTCTTTTGAGTGTTTGCACTTTTTTGCTCGAGCTTCAGTTCTCTCAGAGTGCTTCCGTTTGTAACTTTTAATATCCTGACTAGAGCTATTGCTAGAATCTGTATCGCTTGTACTGCTGTTACGCTTTTTTTTCTTTTGCTTATGATCTTTGGATCTCTTCTTCTTACTTTTTTTTACAGTTTGTTCATTATCAGAACTACTATCATCAGTGTGCTGCTTACTTTTCTTTGATTTCTTTCTTTTCTTAGATTTTTTTGTTTTGTGTTTCTTTTCTATCTTTTCTGTCTTTTCTGTTTTTTCTGTTGTTTCTATTTTTTTTTCTTCTTGGCCATCCTGTACCTTTGGAGTGGATGGTACATCTTCTACTTCTGGTATTAATTCATATTTCTTTCCATTAGGTGGGACAAAACAATCTTTAGCCAAATGTCCATGTGTTCCACACTTTGAACACGTTGTGTTAAAAACAGCTTCTAATTGAATAGTTTTGCGTTGTTGTGGAACATGAGTTTTTTTCTTTTGCAAATCTCTTTGTAATTCAACTCCATTAGGATCCAAGTCAGTACCATTACCTTGATTAACATGTTTCATAGACAATCCAATTTTACCATCATTGCTCACCGATATAACCTTACACCACACTCTTTCTCCTTTTTGTAAAATTTCTGTAACGTCGTCAACGTGAGCCGAACTCACCTGATAAAGTTTTCATTATTATATAATTTTACTTGATATTATAAATATTAAAATATTCTGAAATTGAAATTAATAATACCTGTGATCTATGTATCAACCCTTGTTGAGAACATCCAGGTATTTTAACGAAAGCACCGTAATTTTGGATGGCAGCTACTTCGCCAAGAAATATTTGATTTATCTCACAATTTACCATATTTCTATATATTCTTCTATGCTATATTTGGTTCAAATGGCTTGATCGGTCTGTACGTATATATTATTTTGCTCTTTGTCAAATCGATAAATAACAAGACGTATAGGTTAGGATTTATCACAACATAGGAGCATAGTGCTGTACCAATAAATCGTGGTACCCACCACTTCATGCCAGCTAGTATTCTACATACATTTTTTTATTTATTCTTTTTATTTATACATATTATAGACAAGACATTTACTTATCATATCATTCGATTTTCTCTTCTATTTTAGTATTTATATGATTTCCTGGATGCATTAATTACACAACAAACTTCGCCAGAAGAAGCATATCGCAAATTTGATGATCTTGCTAACAAGCATACTGAAACATTGCGAAAGGCAACTAAACAGGTTCAAGAAGCAAGATTGAACCATGACGATAATGCTGTTAAAAAAGCTGTTACTGATTATGAAGAAGCCTTAGATAGATATGTGCCTGTTTTAATGGCACAAGCTAAAATATATTGGGACAGAGAGAATTATGTACAAGTAGAAAAAATTTTTAGAAAGAGCGTCGAATTTTGTAATGAGCATGATATATGGAAATTGAACGTTGCGCATACTTTGTTTATGCAAGAAAATAAGTTTAAAGAAGCGACAGGTTTTTATGAACCAATAGTCAGAAAAAAATATGATAATGTTTGTGTCTTTTAATAATAAATTACTATACTTTAAGGCAATATAATAAAATTATTTTTTCATTTTGTAGATATTAGATACAAGCGCTATAGTGCTAGCAAATTTGTGCGTAAGTTATATCATGACATCTCAAAATGCAGATGCCGAAGAATTAATGAAAAAAATAGAAAAGGAAGAAGAGAAAATATCGTTTGAAGATCAAGATAAAAAATTATTTCATCTCTGTATAGTTAATTTAGTAATCGGAACTCTATACTGTTCTAAAGGCAACTACGAATTTGGGATATCCAGAGTGATGAAAAGTTTAGAACCTTATAATAAAAAACTAGGAACGGATACTTGGTTTTATGCTAAAAGATGTTTTCTCTCTCTCTTAGAACAATTAGCTAAACAACTTGTTGTTTTAAAAGATACCAGTTTACAAGAATGTATTCAGTTTCTGGAACATTGTGAAGGTTTATATAAGCTTTACCTATTAAATAGTATTATTCATTATAAACATATATGTATGGTCTATTGTACAAGTAATAATTATTTTATAATTATTATTTAGTTTATGGACGAGACATACCTACTGTAATAGAACAATCTTTTGATGTACAAGATATTCTAACAGTGGCACCTCAAGAAACGCAAACTGTTGTATACGAAGCAAGGTATTTGAAGTCATTGTTTCTAAAGTTACAAATGTCTTAAAGATATACATATGGTAATAAAATAAAATTTGTATTTAATATGCTCTTAGAATGATTTTCAATAAAATGCATGTATATAACATTTCGTTCTAAACCCGCTTATCTTCCGATATGATAAAGAACAAAAGATACAGATTTTCCGTGGACATTTCTACGAATATCTGTCTAAATATAATATATTCTTCACCTGCGATTATTAACAGTGGGCCCTATATAAGAACACACCGGTGTAGAATAAGTTCCAATTTCTACAAGTGCGCACAGTCTTATAAACCCACGTATAAAAACCCGCACACTAGAATTCACGGAGCAGTAAAGGTGTTTAATTAGTTATAAGAATATTTGTTTTTTAGTATGCTCTTCGAATGATTTTTAATAAAACGCAAGACTTTCAGCTTGAAAAAATATTGCGCGTGTAGGGCAAAGATGGTACTTTAATTTAAAATTAATTTTACAGAAATTTGACTACTGTAAGTATAAATTATATTCACGAGAACGTTCCTAAAATATGATAGCAATGTGTAAAATATATGTACTTTGCAGCATTTGATTTTATGGGATTTTTAGTATTGAAAACGCGAGACTACTAGCGTAAAGCAGTATTGTACGTGTAGGGCAAAGTAAGTACTATAGTTTAAAATAAATTTTAATAAAATTTGACCACTATCAGTATAAAAAATATTGACGAGAACGTCTCAAAAATATGACAGTTATGTGTAAAATATATGTACTTTGCAGCATTTAATTTTATGGGATTTTAATTATTTAATACGCAAAACTTCCAGCCTTAAAAAATATTGTACGTGTAGGACAAAGAGTGTACTATAATTTAGTATAAAGTTTTTTAAAATTAGTTCACTCTAAGTATAGTATATTGACGAGAACGTTTCAAAGATATGACAGCTATGTGTAAAATATATGTACTTTGCTGCATTTCATTTTCTGGGATTTTAAGTATTTAAAACGCGAGACTTTTAGCTTGAAAAGGTATTGTTCGTGTAAGGCGAAGTGTGTACCCTAATTTAATATAAAAATCATTAAGATTGAACCACTATAAGTTTTAAAATTTTTTTCGCAAACTACTTAATAAAATAAATTTCTTTCTGGTCCTGCGTGAAGTATGTCCGATTGGAAATTTACTTAAACAAGAAACGACATTATTGTTTTTTGATATTTTGTGAACCTTTGTAGATTGATTTATTACTAGATATAGTATTCTTTTCGTAGGAATAAGAGTTTAATTTTATTTATTATGTAAAACTTTTCAATTTTAATTATTTAATGAATAATGAAATTTAAAGAAAAAAGAATTTAAATGACAAATAAATGGACATTTAAAAATACCGAGTTCTCGATGCATTAGAAAATGTGTTTTTCTATATTTAAACACAAGTGAATATGAAAAAATGCATGTCTCTGATGCATGCTACACCTACGAATACAGGAACCCGTACCGATATTGGACCTTTCATCCTCGGCATGATTGAGCACTGGAGGGACTTTAAATTTACTTACTCGTTACCAATTGTTACCAAAAAATAAAATAAAAAATGAAACTGAACAATTGGCAGTARAAGTTCTGCGATGGCTCCAAAACACTCGTCCCCCTCGCTGTTGGTTGAATGATGTCGTGAAGTTGATTAAAATTGGTTGAATTGTTGAATCGATGAATCGATGAATCGTTGAATTGTTGCATCGTTGAATCGTTGAATCGATGAATCGTTGAATCGATGATTTGGCTGTTATTAAAAATACAAAATAAAATTAATTATGTTTCATATCACATGCAAAA